GAGTCGAGGGGCCACCACCAAAAAGGCCCTCTCTCTCGTCCCCACCAATCGCGCCTGCGATGCAGGTGGGATTGCGAGCAGGGGCTCTCCAGATGATTGAAGAGATTGTGTGGGTTCGTATACAGAGATGCGGTCACGCAGGTAGGCGGGTCCCAAACCGTTCAGGGCTTTGTAGGTAAGAACCTGCACCTTGAATTGGGTCCAGAAAATGAATGGCAACCAGTGGAACTCCTTGAACAGGAGGGTTGACCACTCCCTGTAAGGAACCCCAGTTAACAACCTGGCTGCCGCCCATTAGACCATCTGGAATTTCCGAGCCATTTTCAAGGGCAGCCCCATGTAGAGTGCATTACAGTAATCCAGTCTAGAGGTGACTAAGGCAAGGTGACTAAGTTACCCATGATGACCTTCCTGCAAACAAATGAGTCCAATGTGGGGTAGGCAACTCTTAGGTGGATCTGGAATTGATCAAGCGACTGAACCCAAAAGAGTGCTTCTCCCCAATGGATCCTCTTCTTCATCCTGGAAAGAAGTGACTATCTGGATGCCGGAAAGAGGCTTCGGTCCTGGGCCCAGTGATGTCCAACATCTTTATTAATGACTTGGATGGTTTAGAGCAGGGGTCCTCAAACTTTTTAAACCGGGGGCCAGTTCACTGTCCCTCAGACAGTTGGAGGGCCGGACTATAGTTGTTGTTTTGCTTTTTTAATTAAAAATTCCTCTGCACATTGCACATATCTTATTTTGCTGTGTGGAAGGGCCCTTAGAGGGGGTTCTTTCTAGCCCTCTTTAGGCAGTAATTCCAGGAGCAGAGAATGGGAAATCTTCCTATTTCTAGTCTGAACAAAATCTGGCTACCAGTATTAAAAAAAACTCTAAAATTATAACTGTAAATAAAGAACAACACTCAAACACAGGGGAACTCCAGACAAGAAACAATCAGGGCCAGCTAATCACCTCTCAACAAAGGATTCTCCCTAAAAACTGTCAGGCTATGAAACGGTAATCAAGGTGGCCAATTGAAACATTCATATCTACCTCCAACAGACAAGAGTTCTTTCTCCCACCCTGGTTCTTCCACAATTTTCCTAGTTAAAGGTTTTCCT